TCGGCTTTCCCTGCTCTGGCACTTGATGGAGACCTCGGGGGAGGCTCTGTGTCTGCTCACCCCCTCCATGGCCACCAGGGAAGGAGCCTGGGGTGCTGGGGTGATGTGCAAGGCTCTGGGGACACCAGCTCGAGGAGGGCTGGGGGTGCCCTGGCCTCCCAGAGCCCTGCTTCTCCATGGCACACACACCAGGAGGTGTTGTGGCAGCAGCTGTGGTCGCTGGGGTTTCTTCTTTTGACATCTGCATCCCTTCTGTGCCCTCCACACCTTCCAACAGACCCAGATCCAGGACAATTTTAGAGCAAGGAGATTTTAGACACAGAATAACAACCTTCTCTTGGCTTTTTAATTTTTTTTTTTCAGCTTGGTTTTACTTAATGCTACAAGAATAGCTGCAGGATTTGTCCCAATTAAAAATTAATTTTCCCTGGTTGAGCAGGGGGTGGTGTGGGGCAGGTGGAAGAATTGCCTCTGCTTTGTTGTTTTTTTTTTTGGTTTTTTTTTTCATTTGCCTGACAAATATTTCTGGGTCCCTTGGTATTCGATGTTAATTTTCAGCTTAAAGGTTGTAAGGCATTGCAGTGTGGCACGGGAAGGGGTGGTGTGACAGTCTCCAGGCTGCCTGTGCTCGTTTTATCCGCAAATGGCTGCATTTGCAATGTGTAATGATCTCTGTAAGGCAGTTAGAAGTGAGATAAACATCAATTTTATGGCTGGGAAAACATAAGGGGTGTTGCACAGGAAAACGAGAGGACCTGAATACTGAAAACCCTCTGGTCTCCTCAGTGCTGTTGGGTTTAGCTCTGGTCTCTCCGTGGGTCCCTGTGCATCCTGGTCCCTCCCCGTGGTGGTCCAGGCAGGTGAGGTGCTGCAAGCCAGCCTTGAAGGAATGCAGGAGCTGCACAGCCTTCCCTTTAAGGGTGGGGGATGCAGGTAACCAGGACTTAGTATTCACAGCCAAGAGTTAGGGAGGGTTGGCTGAAGTGGGAATGAAGTAAGACCAAGATTAGGAAGTTTTTTGGGATTTGTTTTGTAACAGGAGCTCACGCAGAAGGCTGAGGTCACGGTCGTGGTGCATCCAGACTGGGGATGGATTTTGAGTTTCACAAATAACAGCTTTTTGCAGCTCTGTTTCTTCACCAGATACAATTCAGAGTATAAAATGCTTTTTCTAATATGCTGAATGCCTCTGGAATGCAATTAATATTCTCGCCTAAGTCTCCAAAAATTAATAGGCGTGCCTGGAAGCTGCTGAACGTGGCTGTGTGTGTGTGCAGGGGGGTGATGGGGAGGGACAGCTTAACCCACCCGAACTGGAAAGGACCTCAGGTGGGGAAGGAAGGTGCAAAACCATGGGTGGGAACTGGACTCACAGAGTGGCTGCAGGAGTGAGGCTGAGACAGCCAGATCACACCCACGGGACGGTGCTGAGGCAGTGCCTCGTAGGGGGAGCAGACCCCATCTCAGCTACTTCAGGAGACACCACCTTCCTCCCACCAGCACGCCCATGGCCTGGGAGCTCCAAATGCCACCCCCTGGCTGGAGCAAGGGCTCTCACAGCTCCTTCCCCTTGAGCCTGAGAGGGGTGATCAAGCTAATTATTAATCAGCTGCCTTTGAGACTGATTGGGGGTGAGGGCTCTCCCCATGTGGTGCGAGTCTGTCAGGGAAACTGAGGCCTGCGTGGTTTTTGTTCTCTTGCTCTGTGTGACATGAAATAGGCTGCCAAGTGTCTCAAAAGCTGGCAGCACGTTCAGGGCTGGTGTTTTTTTGGGTTTTTTTTTTTTTTTTTTTTTTTTTTGTTTTGTTTTGGTTTTTTTTTTCTGTGTAGAATATTTAAGATGAGTTTTCACATTTTATGTAGTTCATTTTCTACTTGCATTTCT